TATTAAAACATGGTTTTATTTCAACCTCTCCCTTCTCAGGAAGCCCTGATCCACTTGGGGGCCAAATATTCTCCATGCATGCGTCGGGACAAGCAGGTGCACGACCTCATCAGGGAAAAGCGAGCGATCGAACGCAACTCTGCCTGCTGTGTGCGCAACGATCGCTCCGGTTGTGTCCAGACCTCAGAGGACGAATGCTCGGTGTGAACACGAGTCCTAATTTTTTTTGTTCTGACTGTACACATTCAAATCCATCATTTTAGCTTCATCTGTTTTTTCTTTTTCTTTTTGTTGCAGAGTACTTTAGCTGTGTGGGTAAAGTGGCCGATGCATTCCAGCACTCCGCAGTTAAACGGGAAAAGCAGGCAGTATGGATCAGTTTGCCATCAGGACCCCAGGTAGGACCGATCTGAAGTCGTTCATTTATATACAGTACCACAGAGTACTGTGTGGGTGGTGGTTTTCAATGGATGTGGTTTTGTTGTTTTTGTTAAAGGATCTGTCTGGAGCCCGCCTCAGTTCCACCTCATGAATGGTCTGATGACATCACCAAATGGCCAGTGAGTGTTTGTAATAAAGATACCTGCCATCATGTGGGCGTGGGCCAAAAGTTGATACGCTGATGATGGGAAATTCCTTCGTGGGCCACAGAAGGTCACCAGTTGACCTTTCTTGGGCCCACATTTGGACCAAATTTTATTCTAATTTGGACAGGCTCTACAATGACACAGTAAAGTACTTGTAACTTCAGCCAAGGCCGTATGTGAAATTTATGACACCCAGTTCCCTCACATGGTGTGAGATACTGCTGCCAGTGCTGTTCACTTCTGTTTGACAGATTTACCGTAATTTCCGGACTATTGAGTTCACCTGAATAAAAGCCTCACCCACTAAATTTAAAAAAAAAGAAAAATAATTGTACATATATTGGCCGCACTTCTCTATAACCCACCGGTGTCCAACATGGGATATTTTTATGCAGAAAGATTTTTATTGAATATAATTTTTTCCGAAGAGTGCCTGTAACACGGTTGGTTACACGTTAGCTCTTTCCTGCTTTTGCGCCTTGACCGTAGTTGGAATGCACAGGGGAGACTTAGTGGTCCGCTCCAGGGCTAATGCTAACATTAGCTCCAGGGCTAACTCCCTTCACTTTGTCCTTGTCCACAGCAGAGGTAAACAGAAACAGGGAAGTTGGGGTCTTTATTATCAGCCACACCGACCACAACAGAACATAAACTCTCATCTTACGCTAACAGTCTCTCTCGCGTTCACAGACCGACATACGCTACTAATATATCACACAGTAGCCTACCAGAAAAGTCAGTGATCGCTAGCGGTATGAACTTCGTTGGCCCGTAAAAATCCATAAATTAGCCGCATCATTGTTTAAGCCGCAGGGTTCAAAGCGTGTGGAAAAAAGTAGCAGCTTATACTCCAGAAATTATGGTAGGTTACACCTGGACCAGCACTGCCACCTGGGATATCTAGCTAGATAGGTAGATAGATAGATAGACAGATAGATAGATAATTCAATTCTTTAATTATAAATACATGGACTGTTGCTTCTCCCTGAACCTTCTGAATGACTGTCTTGTCTGTCCAAGTCGAAGCCAATAATGGTTTAGCGTTCTCCTCTGTCTCTCTGCTCCCATGTTTAGATATGCACCAAATTCAACACCAGAAACCACACCAACCTGCCTCATATAGACTGCACCATCACAGGGCGACCCTGCTGCATTGGAACCAAAGGGAGGTGAGAGGAACTCCGTTTTAATGTCTGCGTCACTCTGAGATGCCCCAGTTCCCATCGTCACTAACGTCCGCTCCTGTGCCGTAGGTGTGAAATCACATCCCGGGAGTATTGTACCTTCATGAAGGGCTACTTTCACGAGGAAGCCACTCTCTGCTCTCAAGTAAGAAACTCATGTCATTGCATAGCAGAAGTACATTTCTGTGCACTTATGAAGTTATCGTAGATCAGGCATGAGCAAAGTAAGTTCAGTTTTATCAGGCCCGTCAACCTTTTCCAAATTATGTAATTTATTGTCTGGGGGCCAGATGATTTATTTATATTATCATTATACTTCTGCCTTTTCCCTGCAATACCCCGATTTCCCCAATAGATGGTGTAGAAAATGATTAAAAAAAGCATTTTAGCATTTTCTCCTTTATGCATGACTTTTACATGTCATTTCTCTTAGTTCACATGAACGCTCCATCTATCTGCTCTTGACCCGGCCCCCGCTTTTCAGCTTTCAAAAAGTCAAAAAGTTTGCCCACCCCTGCCGTAGATCACGTGTCAAACCCAAGGCCTTCGGGCCAAATGCGGTCAGCCAAGTCGCTCTGTATGGCCAGTGGGAGCTTAAAAAAGAAACTTTCAGGAATTGATACATTATTTAAAAGTACCTGGTATTTCAAGACCTTGTATCGATGATTAAAATGTAACACTTTTACAGGTACACTGCATGGACGACGTTTGCGGACTGTTGCCTTTCCTCAACCCTGAAATTCCAGATCAGTTTTACAGACTGTGGCTCTCCCTTTTCCTGCATGCTGGGTAAGTCAGATATGTACATACAGGAACATGCCAAGAGAACAGAACAGCACAAATGTTTTCTCCTCCCTCCGTTGCTGACTTCTATGAGTCAGCAGCGAATGGAATTGCTTGGTTTTTTTTTTTGTTCCATCTCGCTGACCTGGTTCTGGATGAAGGACAATATTCAGAGTCATCTCATCAGTCAGTTCTGCCGAAACCACAAGCACATGTATTAAAAAAAAAAAAAGGCAGGAAGTGTTTATTTGTGAGGGCAGTCCATGGTTAGAGCATCGTGTATGTCATCTGGGGACTGTGGCTAGAATTCTGGGTTGGACTGGACTGTGGTCTGTTGAGCAAGCATCAAATCTGCCCCACTCCCTGGGCACGCTACCAAAGCACCACCCACTGCTTCTCTGTGTCCAGTGCTAATCACCAGGGCGTGATTTAGATGGATTAATTGTGCAGAGTAATATTCCTGACAGGGTTAATTAAGTTCTGACAGAAACAGCTGTGAAATGTCCAACTATTATCTGTAGCAGTCACTCACACACTTATTAGAAAGTGTGACATATGTACAGTACATATACCAGGGGTGTCAAACTTACGGCCCGCGAGCTAAAACCGGGTCGCTAGGCGGTTCAATCCGGCCCGCTTGATGAATTTTGATACTGAAAAAAAAAAAATGCACTAAAAATGCAATAAAGTGCTAGATAATGGGTGGTAAACATACGGCCCGTGGGCCAAAACCGGCCCACTTGGGGGTTTAATATGGGCCGCTTGATGAATTTTGATAGTGAAAAAAATGATGTTTTGTCAAATTATATTTCATTAAATATGAATATTTTCTATACAAAAAGTTTAGAAAATACTTTTTTTATATTACTTTTTTTTTTTCTAGATTTAATTTTTGATCCAGTGTGCTATATTGTGTTCCAAATACAGTGCACAAAGTGACAGTTTATATTCCCTGGTCACGTAAAGTTTGTCTTTGCAAGGCTGACAATTTATACACAACAAACAATCTCTCAATCAATTAATTACGAAAAGAAAGATGCTGCAGCATCTTAAACTGGTCACAGCAAATATTTAAAAGTATTATACAGTACGGTTTCAGCTTCAGTTCGTCATGTCTTTTGTGTCTTATTGTTGTCTGTCTCATCTCAACTCTTAATCAGTTACTTGACATTTCAGGCGACCCCATTTGAATTCCATGTGACCCCACATGGGGCCGCAAGCCCAAGGTTGAAAACCAACGCCTTACAATTATCGTGATGTGAACGGTTAATAATAGTGCATGAAAGGAAAATAATGACTTAAACCAAGATGTGTTTTTTAATCGACGAGAGCGATGATTCTGCGAACCGATTTAGCTCCACGTGATCGGCCGACGTCGGAGGAACAGCTCAGCTGAGAAGATATTTTGGAGCAGGTGTTTGTCTGTCTTTGTCACTGTAAAGAGTTGACCTCACACCTAAGAGTGACAGGGGTTTTATCTCCTCACTCTGTGTCTTATCCGTCTCCTGGGTAATTAAGCAAAGTGCCATCACCGCACGTAACCTCACTTGGCGTCTCCTCGATGGATTTCCATTTTGTTGATGGGTCGAAGTCGGCTTTTCTTTAAACCCAAACACGTGTGACATTCATTCACGTGCCCGCTCAGGACACGTGAATGATTTTTTTTTTTTTTTTGTCCACATCCCTTGTGCTCTTGCAGGATCTTGCACTGCCTGGTGTCAGTGGCCTTCCAGATGACCATCCTGAGGGACCTGGAAAAACTGGCGGGCTGGCTGCGTATCTCCATCATATACATCCTCAGCGGCATCACTGGCAACTTGGCCTCGGCGATCTTCCTGCCGTACAGAGCAGAGGTGAACTGTTGCTCGCCTTCATTAACACAGTGAAATGTTACAAGTCATATGTTTCGTAGTGGACTAGACCTGTCACATTTTAACCCCGTAAAGACTGAAAATTCTACATTTTTGGAAAAGAGATGTTTATTCAACATTACAACAACCTGCCCCAAAAATATTAGGTTTTGTTTATGAGATAGAGATCATTTGTAAAATATAAATTTAAAGCTATATAATTTCAACTTTTTAAAATATAAACAGCATTAGGTTATAGTGAAGCGTCATAGCATTGCTCACTATAAAAAAAAATATAGGCGTCTTATGTGCGATCATGCTCATTATGTTGAATTTATTTCTCACTCCACTTCCCTCGTCTGTAAGTTGTAAAACACTCTGTGATGTCATATCCTCAGGTGGGCCCTGCTGGTTCTCAGTTCGGGATCTTGGCCTGCCTCTTTGTGGAGTTGTTTCAGAGCTGGCAGATCCTGGCGCAGCCCTGGCGGGCGTTCACCAAGCTCCTGTGCGTGGTCCTCTTCCTTTTCGCCTTCGGTCTGCTGCCCTGGATTGACAACTTTGCGCACATCTGCGGCTTCATCTCCGGCTTCTTCCTGTCCTTCGCCTTCCTGCCCTACATCAGCTTCGGCCGCATGGACCTGTATCGTAAACGCTGTCAGATTATCGTCTTCTTGCTGGTCTTCTTCGGCCTCTTCTCGGGCTTCGTGGTGCTCTTTTACGTCTACCCCATCAAGTGCGAATGGTGCGAGTTGATCACCTGCATCCCTTTCACTGACAAATTCTGTGAGAAGTACGACCTCAACGCCCACCTCCATTGAGGGAGGTGTGGGGGGTGTGAGGCCAACAGGATGAGCCGTCCACTGTCCCACCGCGTTCTGTGAACTACGATGATATGCTTGTGTTTTTTTTCTACTCCGTCAGTATGAATATCTTCGGCACTCATCCCATCAACTTCTTTCATTCACCTCCCACTTTCTGTCCCTTCGTCCACAAAGGTATAGCACTTGAGCTCCCAGCGTTCCCTTTACTCACGAGGAGGCAGGTATAAGAACAAATCCTGGTACCAAGAAGGAATATTTTTTTAACTACACAGTCACACTCCAGAAAAAGATATCACTATTATGATATTAATATAAGTAGTAGTATTCAGGCAACCTCATACTGAAGCAGGGACGTAAAAAAAAAAAATATTACCTTTGGTGCCTTGATAAATGTACTACTGCCATATTTTTGTTACAGTACGCCAAGCACTCAAATGTTTATTTCCCTTCATTATGTTGTATTGCTTCTCAAGAAGTTATGATTGTTTTGGTTTTTTTGAGCATGGTAGTGTTTTAGCTACCTGTCTACTCACGTGTAACTGAAATAACAGAAACAAACAAGAAAAAAGAAAAAAAAAAACAAGGAAAGAAAAATGTACAAAATAAAATATCTGCCATGAATAAAATGTTTTTAAATATGTTGGTACATAATATTATTTTCAACAATCAACTTTATATATACAGACATACATATATATTTATATGTATATAAGTATTTATATATATATATATGTATATATATATATATATGTATATATATATATATATGTATATATATATATATATGTATATATATATATATATAAACATATATTACACTTACAACTATATATATTTATATATATGTATATACATATATATAAATATATATAGTTGTAAGTGTAATATATGTTTATATATGTATACATATATAAACATATATTACACTTACAACTATATATATTTATATATATGTATATACATATATATAAATATATATAGTTGTAAGTGTAATATATGTTTATATATATATATATGTATATATATATATATATACATATATTTATAAATATGTGTGTGTAATATACATATGTATTTATATGTATGTGTGTGTAGTGCTTTTCGAGATGCTGAACAAAAGTTCAACAAAAGTACTATAATACTCTCAGAGGACAGTGGTGATTGAAAACCAATTTATTTTCCAAAAAGTAACTGCAGTAAAAACAAGACACACAGGCAGACTTTCCCATCTCTACACATTCAAACATATTCATTTTTATATGATTTGGGAATACACTATATTTTAACCTTTTTTTTTTTTTGTATATAAAATATCCTGTGTCTCTGAACTCTTAAACATCCACTACACACAATCACTGCTTAGACATGACTGGATCCATCCTTTGTATCTTCCATTGTATTATAAACAAGCCCATGTTTTTGTAGTGTGGATCATCATCATCATCATCATCATCATCATCATCATCAATGGGGACATGTTTTCATCTTACAAAGCCACAGGTAAGATAAAAATAAATCCATGTCTAACAGTCTTCGTTATAAATTTAAAAAAAAAAGCTTAAAGCTTAAACAAGTCCTTTTAAAGAGGGTGGGGTCAGTTGATTCAAAGTGTGGTTCTGTGAGGCACTGATGCATTCATAGTTCGTGCAGGGCCGTCGGATCCAGCTGAGATACTCAGCTGCTAATGTATGTGATAAAACTATGTTTATCCCACAACAGGAAATTGATCTTCTAGTCTCCTCAAGCAAATCCTGTGAATCCGTGGTACGCAGGGGTTTCAAGTAGGACGATATTTTCACGGACCAGCCGTCAAAGTTTGGTAAGTAAACGCTTCTGAATATTAAGATATGCATTCTAAAGGGGGGGTGGTGGTGGTTGTACACCTCTAACATCGTGTAATTCATTCTTTTATCTTCTCATATTTTATACTTTTTTACATTCGCACGGGGAACTCAGCTAATCCCAGCAGTAAGTGGGCTAGAGCGGGGTTACGTAGCATTTACTTTGAGATTGACTAGAGCTAATCCTGCTAGCCCCTGCTTCTTGTATACTTCTTTGGAGTTTCACTGCAGTTATATTACTGCCACCTAGTGGATCTGTCATTCACTGTGTTTCAATTCAGAAACACTGATTAATTGCAAAGGAAAAAGAGAAGAAAAAAAATACAGACAGATTGGTGAGACGTCACCTTATTCTTCTGTGATGTGTTAAAAATGACGGGCAATTCCCTTTGATTCTATTGTTTATTTTTTGTGTTTTGTTTGGTGTGTTGGGGGGGGGGGGGGGGGGGGGGTGTCTACATGCTACACCTTTTTTCAAGTGCCTGAATATATATATATTTCCCTCCCTTTCTCCTCACACAGATAAATTCCACACATATTTTTAGCAAGAACGAGTATCTCACTCTCATACCCTTCCCTATCGTCGACTATGTGTCGCTACCTCACGAAACCACATTTGAATCCCGTTTGACTGGACGTAATCTGGAGTGTAAAGCACTAGCGATCAACAGACTAGCAACCGCTGTTCCTCCTGGCGTAGGCCTGCCCACCCAGCGTGTACTCCATCTCTTGGAAGTGCATGTTGGAGACGGTGATGGCCGACGGCCCTTTCTCCTTGAAGCCGGCCTTGCGATAGAAAGGCACCAGGAAGTCCTCGCAGATCAGCAGAGCCCTGCGCAGGCCTGGCATGCAGCGCAGATGCTGCAGGTAGCGCCAGAGGACAATGGAGCCTTTGCCCTGCTGACGGCAGTGGCGGTGCACGGACAGGACGTGGATGTGCACTGTGGGGGTGTCTGGGACATGGAGGGTCATGGCCTCCTGGAGAAAAAGAAATAAACACCAGCGTTATAGGGCAGAAGATAAAACAAAAATCAGATAAACGAGACGTCATGGTAGACCAGTTGTTCCCAACCTTTTTTGGCCTGGGAACTCACTTTAACATCAGAAATTTATGGCGACCCCAGAGACACTTTTGCCTTTTTTATATTTGCATAACAGAATAACTTTGTTTAAGATTGCGTGTTTTATCGTAATTTAAAAAAAAAAAAATTAGTTAGCAATTTTTTTTTAATTAATCACCATAAATTTCAGGTGACCCCATTTGAATTTCCGGCGACCCTATGTGGGGTCACGCCCCAAAGGTTGAAAAACACAGATGTAGATAGTGGTAGATGCAGCCAAAGTCATGTAGTCTTACGCATATGCTCATTCATTTTTATAACAGCCAGTTAAATGGAATAAGGACATCACATCCTCAAAATCACAGCCTGAAATCCAGCTCCAAATCTCTACGGAGCCTCACTTTACAGATGCTTAAATTTATGATCAAAACAGACAGTACAATCATTACATAATTACCTATAAATAACAATAACATCATGTTTTTCTCCTTCATTTTTTAAGTACAAGTTTAATTGAAAATATAACATATAATATAATATATTTAATAAAACATAATTTCACAAAACATCCCAAACATGAGGGGTTTTCAAAATGAATCAATAATTTCACAAAACATCCCGAACATGAGGGGTTTTCAAAATGAATCAAACGGGCCAAATTGAACCTCCCAGCGGGCCGGTTTTGGCCCACGGGCTTTATGTTTTGCTCCCCTGATCAAGCATTTTATTGACCAGAAAAAGTGGCTTTAGATTCATGCATTCAAATTTACATTTTATTTCATGTCTCTGCAGTGTTGCGTACCTGTGAGAGCCTCTCTTTGTTCCATCCGGAGCCGATGATGAAAGCCACCAGCTGACCTTCTTCAAACCAACCCAGTGAAAGCTCTGGACACTGGCTGAGGAAGTTCAGGACCTCGTCCAAGGTGAGTGGACACTCTCCAGACACAGAGACAAAAGCTGTACGACGAAAAAAAAAATACAAACTCAGGTTTTTTGGTATTCGTAATAATAATAAGAATAATAATAAATTAAATTACAAATAATCTGAAGAATTTTTGATTATGATTTCTTCATAAACAATGACTCAACTAAAAAGCTATTTTTTCTTAATAAATAAAAATTATTCTAAATGATTCCCAAATTATTAAAAAATGATGACCCAACTTCAAATGTACCTTTTACTTCTCTGAGAATTTTTAGAAGATAATTTGATTAGATTGACAGTTATTTTAGGATTTTTTTTTTTCTTTCTCAGAAATAGTGATATTATCAACCCGCGTGCAAAATCTAATATAATTATTTGATCGAAAACACTTACCCTCCCTCTCAATCTCAAACACACTGATGGCGTCCTGGGGTGTGAGGTTCCTGAACTCACTGGCGGGCAGCGTGTGGCGTCTCTGCTGCAGAGGACTGACCACACTGGTGGGTGTCTTTAGGAAGAAGGGTTTCAGGAAAGGTGAACCGCTGACCTGCTGCGCCATGAAGCCCTGACTCGCTCTCACTCGCTTACCCTCGGTCTGTTTTCTTTGTATTTGTTTAAAATCAATTCACTGAAGACAAACTTCCCTCTTTCGTCCCCGTGGGTCTCGCTAAGTGATTAAAGGAGCAGCTGAGTCGCTGACCTTTCTCACGTCCTTTCTCCTGCGCCTCCTCCTCGTCTCTCTTCTCTACCTCGACTCATTCTGTAGAGTGGTCACCTCAGAGCAGGATAACTGCCTGCGCACGTGCCTCCAAAGTCTCTAATCCTTAGCTCCAACAAACCTTTCTTTCCGAATAATAGAATTACTATTATTTACTAATTAACTACAATTAATTAATTAATACTAGCCTAATTGTGTAGTACCCGATAACACAATGCCAGGGTTTCGCCAACTGATACTTAAAGTGTACTAAATATAGTTTCGGGGAAAAGCGTCTGTTTGTAAAAGTGAGAGCCACTAGAGGGCAGCATAGCAGCTCATTTTAGGATTGTATGCAGAATGCTGGTGCAAGCAACTCATACAGTGGTTTGTACAGGGAAGGGAGAGAGAAAACGTCTGTCCCCTAGGGGGCGCATGCCAGAAAAATATTGAGAAACACTGCTTTAACACATCACCTTTGTGAGCAGGCAGCGCTTAACTTCCCTTAACTACCAGTTAGTAGTTTCAATTTACTCACTCAGTGTCAAACCTGGGCCTGTTTAGTTGAACACAATTCTTATATACTCAAAAGAATTGAATAAAGACACAGCACCTGGAAATACATGGATTATAACAGCTCAGAGCAGATAACTAATAAACCATGCAAATGAAATCCCACTATCCTTATCCTTTGTTAAGAATAACACAGAGTTTTGTGTATTCACTAGATTACGGCTTCAGTTTTTTTCAAAACAACATGTCATTCAGACAGATAGATATCAACTTTATGAAAAATATTTTTATTTGATATTTATTATATATTTTGATAATATGCAAAATTAGTCATTGTTAAAAGATTTTTATACATAATTCTTAGTTTGTCAACCAAATTCCTATTTAATGACATGATTCAGCCTGAATGTTAAAATTAGAGCATTTCCTAATGCACAAAGACAAGGGCATCCAGGCTAATGAAACCACAGTGAGTGATGGGTGAGGAGGATTAACGTGGATTGCTGTTGGGACGATTTCATGCCTCGAAGAGGTTTAGCCCGGACTAATCAAATGAAACAACACGTGTCTGATAGGAATAAAGATAAATCTGTTTATTCAGACGGTCACACATCCGCAAATGCAAGGTAAACAAATAGCTGGTGATAATCTCACCCGACCAATTATAGGAAACACAATCTGTCCCGCTGAGGTCAACTTAAAGGTCACAAGTGCAAAGGCCAGAACATACAGAATCACAAACCTTGTCATTTTCTGTTCGTTTTCCTGAATCACCTGAAGGAAGCCGTTGCTTCAAAGCATCTTAAATTAGATTATAGATGATCTTAAAAAAAAAAAGAAAAAAAAACAGTCAACAGATAAATTAGAACTTAGATTTTAGAAAGGGGGGCGTTCAAGAACAGATAGATGGGGCATTTGTGTGAACTAAGGTAAAAGACATGTCAAAGTCATGCATAAAGGCTAAAATGCTTTTCTCATTTTCTACGCCATCTATTGGGGAAATGTGGGTATTGCAGGGAAAAGGCATAGGTATAATAAAAATATAAATACATTTTATAATTTGGGAAAAAAATTTCATAGGCCAGATTAAAAGACTGAACGGGCCGCATCTGCCCCCCGGGCCTTAGTTTGCCCATGCCTGGCCTTAACTCTTTATGTCATGTGATATCCAACATGTGATATCCAACATGTGATATCCAACATGTGCCACCTACAGCAGACAGACTGTATTTTTATAGTCAGACGGAGGGATGACGTTAAACTGAATCCCCGTTGAACAATAAACCGGTGTGAGCAGCTGTCGTGTCTGACCACAGAGACCACTACAGTGGAGCCCCAGATACCAGTTTAATCCGTTCCACAACAGCACTCGTGTGTCGATCCGTTCGTATCCCGATCAAATTTTCCCCATTAAAAATAACTAATTAATTCGTATCAACCTCCCAGAAATATCACCCCCATCGAAACATCAAAAACATAGATATAAACAAATATATTGATCATATAAAATAATAATAATTAAGAAAACATTTTATATTATTGTTATAAAAATGGGTAAAATAACCCAGCGAGGGACAGTGAGCGAGACAGAGTGGACATATTGAAGAATGTTAATGGTCATTTTATTGATTTGTTGTTCTCTTCTAGACACTGACGGAGTTTGTGGTTGGACTCGACTGACCCTGTGACACGTCTGGACCCATTTTCCAATCGATGGACTTGCTTCGCTCAGGGCAGGATTAGAACCGGCAATCACTCTCAGACCTCATCAGACTCACACTCTCTGGCCGTGACTGGTGGTTCAAAGAGGTGAACGTTTGCAGCAGGTGGCGCCGTTCTGTGTAATTCTGCTGATACCACAGAGAAGCCCTCAAACACGGGAGTATTAACCTTCACCTCTATTTGACCCGGTTGCTGGTTTGGTTCCGGAGATGCTGGGTCAATTTTTTTTTTTTTTTTTTCAAATGAAAATGATTGTGTTTGAAACCTTCATGGTCAGAATGTAAAAAGAAATCTGACCAATATGTCTATAGTATAAAACCAGACCTATGTATGTGTTTGTAAAGGCCAAGAATGTAAACAGGAAGTGCTGGACTAGTTTACAATGAGGCTACATAATTATTTTTAAGGCTGCTGTCGCCTAAATTAATGATGGAATAAAATAGTGAATAGTTTCCTGTATGACAGGAAAATGTTATTTATAGTCTCTAATTTCATATAGAGGAACAGCAAAAGAGACGATGCAGAAAAGGGTAAACTAAGGCGGAAACCAGTCACGCTGCCCCTCATGACGTATCGAGGTTCGACTAAACGGTACCTTTTGATTGTTGTCGATCACCAATGACGCACTTCCGGTTAAATCGCTCCGCTTCACTTTGCAACCAGGTACGTCGGTGAACTTTTTAAAGATATATATATATATACGATCTGTGGTTTTGTCACTGCGAAAACACTGTTGAAACGCATGTCGCATCGCGTCTCGATTCAGAGACGTTTACATTTTGTAATCTGCGGTTAAATTTGAGATTGTACGGAGGTTTGTTAGGTTTAATGTGGCTGTATTCTTTTCCCATTTCTGCTGTCTGTAGCGTGGGGTTAATCAGTGTGATCACGTCCACCCGTGTCTCTGTGATGTGTCACCTGGTGTCCTGGGTCCATGATGTTTTGAAAAGAGCATGCCTGTAATCGATGCTTCATTCCTGTAAGTTTTTTTCTCTTCTTTTTGCTCTGTTAATAAACCTGAAGAGAGTCTCCCGAGTGCTGCCATTGGGTCCAGTCTATTTCCAACCATATCAACATGTAACAGTACAGTGATCCCTCTCCTATCGCGGTAGTTGCGTTCCAAGACCCACTGAGAATAATGCGTAAATACATATTGTGGGGGCACATAGTAAAGAAAAATAAAGGCTGTAACTGCAGACAAGGGGAGATGCTACGATGCATGAGACAATCAGCGTAAGGAAAGCTACCAGCTTTTAGTTTATATATATATTACTGTTTATTTTTTAAGGTTACAAAATGTTTTTTAATAACAAAAATAATGTACATTAAAAAGTCCTTAAAATACCACGATATAGCGAAAGGAGAACCGCGATATAGAGAGGAAACACTGTATTGACGTAATGTTTATGTGAAATGTCAACAAATGTGAGTTTTTCCTTGTACCAGTGGGCTTAATACCAGAGCTGTTGTGTTGTTGTATTCATATAGAATCACCTAAAAATCACTTGGCAGCATGTTTTATATATATATACTGTATATATATATATATTTTATATATGTTTTATGTTTTATAGTAAGGCATGTTTTGGGTGAT